ATTTAGGCTTTTAGATTGAGGGAAGCCAATCAGAAAAGTTCTCACCTAGCTCAGTCTCCAAAGTTCATTACAGTTGCTGTTAGCTAACCATTGCTTATTAATGGCTCATTTTTATTTAAGGGCTTTTTTTTTTCTTTTTGGCTGTGTTGGGTCTTAGTTGCATCAAGCAGGATCTCCCGAGTTGAGGAGTGCAGGCTTAGTAGTTGTGGCATATGAGCTTAGTTGCTCTGTGGCAAGTGGGATCTTAGTTCCCCAACCAGGGATCAAACCCTCACCCCCTGCATTGCAAGGCAGATTCTTAACCACTGGACCACCAGGGAAGTCTGTTCATAATTTTATTAATGGTGGTTTCACTTGTGTTTTCTTCTAACTGATAAGCCAAGGCAAAGATTTGTAGCAGAAATTGATAGACATCTGGACTGGATCTTCCATAGAAACAAAACCACTTGTTTTACAGAAAAGTAGACTCAGGGAAGCTGTGAACCTGGTTGTGGCCTAGAAATTTTACTACAACTGTTTTCCTTTAATTGTGGACCTTGTTACTCCTGCAAACCATTTTCAGCCTCTAGTCAACCATACTGCAAGCAGAGATGCCCGAAAACAATTATTTTTAAAAATTGTTAAAAAACAATTTTCAAAAATTGGAAACTCTCATCCTTAATGCAGGTATCTGATGTCTCTCAAGGTTGCCCAACACTTCAAAGTAGTGAAGATGCCAGTAAAGAAACTCATAGATTTCCAGTTTCCATCACTTGGCCCTGATTATTTGCCTAGGCTTCTACAACCAAACTGGTGAGACAGAGAGAATACGTGACAGACTAATGCCAGCTCCTCAGTGACTTGAGGCCAGTCACTTTCTCTTCCTGCAGCCTAGTGTCTCATGTGGTTGCTAACACATGACCTCAGAGAAACCTGTTCTTTTACTTAATAGCATTTATAATAACTTCTTGTTATATTCTTTCAGGTTTATTTGTTTAATCAGTGGTCCTCTCCACTAAGACAAAATCTCTATACAGATAGAGACAATATACTAGTACCCCAACACCCAGCATAGTAGCTGGCACATTTGGTTAAAAATTAACTGATTTAATTGATGAGTGAATATATGAGAAAAATGATCTTAAAGTATCCCCCTTGACTTTTATAGTTTATGATCCTCTAAATGCATGAAACTGATTTTTTTAATTGGACCATAATTCTATCATTCTCCCCAAACATCATCTAGTAGATTAAATGCCTAAGTGAGCTTGGTTCTTTTCTGCACAGTTGCTCTGAAAAACAAAAAACAAAACAAACAAACAAAAAAACCTAGACCTATTCATAGTAGTCCCATATCTCTGTAGGGGGTCAGCCTACAGAGAGGAAAAGATACCATTTCTGCTAACTTTTGTTGTATCTTAGCAGAACTACAATTCCTGCAAGATAGATACTTGTTGTATGTCCTAAAAAAATGTTCCACCTTCTCTTGCTATTTTGTTTCTGGATCTTAAAATCCTAATAGTAATCAAAGCATTCCTAGAAGGAAAGGACTCATAGAAGGAAGAAGACTTAGAATTATCTAGTTCAGTGATTTGCAAGCTATATTTTAGAAGTGGAACCCTATTTTATGAAAAGAAATTGTCTGCATAAACTCAATATTTCTATGTGTTAAGGGAAGGGAGAGAAAAGGAAAGACAGAGAAGGAGGGAGGAAAAGCAGAAGGAAGGAAAAAAAGAAACGCTCTGTCCCCGTTGCTGTGAGAACAGGAACTCCTGAGCCCTGCTCCTCAAACTGCTTCCACCTCCACCTTGGGCTCCTGCTCCACCACCCTCTCTGCCCTCTCCACCTGCCCTGCTGGTCCACGGTGTCCCTTAACGTACCATTAAGACCAGTCATTACAAATAGCTTGAAAGCCACTAGTTGGAACAAATACCTCCTTTTTTAAAATTTATTTTTAATTGGAGGATAATTGGTTTACAATCTTGTGTTGGTTTCTCCTTTTAATAAATAAGGAAACTAAGGCTTAATGGATGTCACATTCCTTTTCAGTATTCCTAATCCTTCCTTCTAAAAGTCAACCCATTTTCTTTTTGTTTCTTGTTAGCAAGTTACTCTGTACATTTATCTCCAAGATAATTTTAATGGACTCCAGATCATCATGGTTCAGCAGATTCTTCCTTTTAGGTAAACCACCATAATTTAATTTTACTCATATAATTTTATTTCAATGAAATTTTCAAAAATGAAAAATTTTTATATCTCACAGGCACTGCTTTCCTATTACAAAAATATAAAATTTGTTTTCAAATAAAAACAACATTGACCCTTATAATCACAAGTCTAAATTTTACTTATGTTCATTGTGAAGATACAGAGAGAATTAAAAGAAGGTATCATTTAATATTGTCAAATGAAACAAAGATCTCCTTCTCCAAATAAAGTGGATGTAGATGTGGTTACTTAACAAAGCAAAAGCTATGTCTACCAAAGCACAGACATGAAGTTATTGATCTGGACTTGGCACAATGACAAACTACTCTCAAATCTTCCTCTTCCCAATTAAGGTGTCTCTCTTGAACTGATTGAAAGCTGTTTGATAAGTATACTTTTTTCAAGATGGTATGCTCGGTTGGGGGTCTTTTTATTAAACTGAAATTCCATCATTAGCTTTGACTAGTACCAGCTGCTGTATAAATTCTGTGTTGATGTAGACCTCCACTGGTATTCCAAACATTGCAGGTGAATCTCTGACTCCAAAATCCTCAATCATGCAATATGAATAATTAACATCTGATAAATGCAGAATGGAAAGAGCTCTCATTAGAAGACACTGTGCTAAGTCGCTTCAGTCCTGTCTGACTCTGCGAGGCTATGGGCTATATATAGCCTGCCAGGCTCCTCTGTCCATGGGATTCTCCAGGCAAGAATACTGGAGTGGGTTGCCATGCCCTCTTCCAGGAGGAGACACTGTAGTAGGGTCTTAATCCCATCTCAGCTCCTCAGAACACTGAACTAAATAGGACTTTAGTTGTGGGCAGGGAGAGGGGTGGAAAAGGCATTTCTAAATCTCTCTGCTTCCTAATTTTGCCCTATACCTGACCAGAAATGGAAACATTAGGATACAAGATGAAAGGTTTTAGTTTTGCAGCAAATTTAAAGACAGAATCCAAGATTTAGAACAGTTCAACTAATGTTTATGTGAGCATTCTAATTCCTGACCAATTCCAAAGAATTTAGAGCTCATACCAGCCTTAATTGTTTACCCTTCTAAATAGTTTAGTTTGTCATTATTTTAACACAAAAGCAAAACTTCCCCATTGATGAATCTAATAATATATTTATGAGATCAATGGTAATAAGGCAGAACAGAAGAATTTTAGGGAAGTTCTTTGCAATGATGAAATTATAAAAAACATCTACTTTATATATGAGGTGTGCCTAGTGAGACTTTTCCTAAATATAGTTGGTATGTTCAGGAGATAAGTTTTAAGTCATGATAAACTTGAATCTGTGAAATAATAAAATATATTAAAATGAAACATGCCATGATACTACAGTGGTAGACAGCAGACTGTTCTGGAGCTCAATGTCTGAGCCTCAGTTTCCTCATCAGTAAAATGGGAATAATATCAGTATCAGCCTTATGGGGCTTCCCTGGCGGCTCAGATGGTAAAGAATCAGCCTGCAATGCAGGAGACCCAGGTTCAATCCCTTTGTTGGGAAGATCCTCTGGAGAAGGGAATGGCAACCCACTCCAGTGTTCTTGCCTGGAGAATCCCATGAACAGAGGAGCCTCGTGGGCTACAGTCCATGGGGTTGCAAAGAGTTGGACACGACTGAGTGACTAAGCGTGCACACACACACACACACACACACAGGCTCGTGAGGTTACTTTAAGCACTGAGAGAGGACCTGTGTGGTAGTTAGCGTAGCACAGTGTATTCATGATTATGTAATTTATGCACAGGAACATAACTAATAAAACAAAGTTGAAAAAAGTTTAAATCTAACATGGATGGACAAACAAAAAAATGTTAAGTACCAATCCATAATTGGTGTTTTACTAGCTGATCATTCTGAGATAGTAGACTGTAAAATAAATTGCATTAGTATTATCCACCAAACACCTGCCACAACTTGTAACTCCCCCTCAGTGGATGAGTATTTGATGATAATTACCTCTTATTAGTCAGTGGGAAGGATGACCGCATACCCAGATAATCAAAAAACTCCTTTTCAGACCATAGGTTCATATTAACTTGAAGCCAATATAGAGGAGAAAAAAGTTCTTTCTGATTTACTTCTACTACACTCGTAGCTGAAACACAGTAAAAACAGATATAGATTAGACTCAGGAATAGCAAGAAGACTAGGTAAAAGGATTTGCTGTTCCATGGGAAGAGAATCTGCTCAAAAATGAAGCCAGTGCATTTCTTTCAGTGAATATTCTTATTAGCAACACCTCGGCTTCTGACGACTGCCTTATCTGTGGACCATCTCTGGACTTGGCACAGACAGTGAGATAAGGAGGGGTCTTGCTTTTCCCTCTCCTTGGGCCTGTTCTGGGTAAATGGAGTATTACCTTTCGTGCCCGTAATAATACGATAATATGTTCATCCACATGTGTCATCAGATCTCTTCAGGATTAAGTTATAGCCTGTCTCCTGTCATGGCCAAGAATGGAAGGACCAAAACCATTAAATGAATAATAGTAAGCATTCACTGGAGTTTCCCAAGGGGCGCTAGTGGTAAAGATCAGCCTGCCAATGCAGGAAATGCAGAAGACACAGGTCTGATCCCTGGGTCTGGGAGACCCCCTGGAGGAGGAAATGGCAACCTACTCTAGTATTCCTGCAGGAGAATCCCATGGACAGAGAAACCTGGCAGGCTTCAGTCCATGGCAGGCTTTTCTGTCTATGGGATCACAAAGAGTCAGACAGGACTGAACGTCTGAGCATGATCGCTTCAAACACTCACTAAATGTTTTTTGTTACTATCAGTGTTATCTTTATCTTCGGCAGGAATGAGGCAGACCAGCAAGGATTTGTTCTTAGAACCAAGAATGGGCTCTCTCATGTCAAGGAGGCGGGCCATCATAGGATACCTGCAGTGGAGGGTGGTAGGCGAAGGTCTGGTCCCGTGAACACAGTACCTGCAGTTGATGATGACAGACAGGCAGCAGATGGTGTCTGGGAGGGCTGCTAGCCACAGTCAGGGCCTGTGCTTTCCAAACACAACTCCAGGGAGACAGGAGATCCGGGAGTGCCACTCATCACCTCTGATGATAAAGGGCAGGATTAGTCTGAGACCTGAGGCTGGGAAACAGGAAAGTGACATGGGAAAGGTGGGTCAAGAAGGAAATGCGGGAAGAATTAAAGAACCAAGAAGGGGGTTACAGTGCATTTCTGAGGGCAGCTGCTTGGTATTATGAACTGGAAGAGAGGAGGAAGTAGGTTATAATAGAGACTTTTAGAAGGAATGAGCAGGCTACACATTTGGTCCAGGTGAACACTGGATGTCCCAGCTGGTCCCCACTGATCTCTTCTCCCTTCAGTCTATGTAATAAATGTTAATTCGGTCCTGAACCTTTAAATGTGATTGGCCTAAACTCATTGAAGGTTCATCCATGTTGTAGTTTTAACAGTTTGGGCAAACTCTGGGAGATAGTGAAGAACCAGGAAGACTGGCATGCCGCAATCCATGAGGTCGCAGAGAGTCAGACATGACATAGCAACTGAACAACAACCGAACAGCAAACAACCAAACAGTGTGTAACATTACAAACAAATAGATGATTAGTATTGTAACTATAAGGAAGAGGATGCTACTTACAAAATATAAAAGATGAATGAGTCAAAAAGCCCCCCACTTTGGTGAAAAGTTAGTACTGTACTGATGAAAAAACAGCCATATCACTTTCAATCCTTAATATGAAACTAGCTTTCTTATTCCTCTAAAAATGTTTAATGTTGTAGTCTCACTTCTAGAAGCCTGGTGTAGGGAAATAATCAGCAACAGGAACAAAGATTTGCTTGGAAACACAGGAGCACCTAGATGCCTAACAATGGAAAAATGGCCAAGTAAAGTTTGGTATATCTGTAAGGTAGAACTATCTAGCAGTTATCAAAAATCATAGTTAAAACAGTAACATTAAAACAGCAAGTGAAAAGAATATATACAGTGTGTTTTCAACTGTATTTCTCCAAAAGCATAGAATTATTGGAAAGAAATATACCAAAATGCTTTAAAATTCAAAAAAGTAGGAGACAGAGAGGAGGTGATATCAAGAAATGGTGTGAGTGTGAGCAGTGAGGAAAGAGGCATGAGGTAAAGGGAAAGTATGACTTTAAACACCTACTGTGTGCTGATTCAACTTTAGGGTCACATGTCTAGCTATTCAGTGGACACTCCCAGCTTCTTCCAACCTCAAATTCCGTATGCTCCAAACTGAACTCATCTTCCCCCCAAAACTACCCTAGTTTCATGTCTATGTTGGTAACTGGGACCACCAGCAAAGCCAGAAACTTTTGAGCTTTTTTTGACATTTTTTTTTTTGTCAGTGTTGCTCAGCTTATGGGATCGTAGTTCCCCAACCAGGAATGGAACCCAGGCCCACTGCACCGGAAGCATGGAGTGCTAACCACTGGATGGCCAAGGAATTTCCTGGGCTTTGGCCAGTCTTTCCTCTCTCCCTCACCCACAAGGCACTCTCCTTGCCCTCTGTGGCACTACAGTCAACTGAGAACCTACCGTCACTCACCTGTATGCCCATTCCCCCATTTTCCCACCACCGTCTCTAATCTGTCCTTTGAAATACAGTCCAACGGATCTTTCTGATGTGCAAGTCTGATTATGTCAGCCCTTCCTTTAAGACTTCTTCCATAGATTGCTACTTTGCCTAAAATAAAGTCTACACTTCTTAATGCGGCTTGCAAGATCCTCTTCAAGTTCATTTTCAACACGCCCCTTTTGCACACCACGGCCCAGTGACACTTCCTGCTCTTCCCACCCTATAGGTACTCTCTTCTCTCTCTGGCTGTTTGAGGGGCTTGAAACACCATCTCCTAGCTTTCTGGTTAGACTGTTTCAAACCTTTAGATCTCAGCTTATAACCACTTACCCAAGCTCAGGTTAATAACCTTCTTACGTTTGAGCTGTTCTCCATGGGTCTGCAGTGCCTGGCAAAATCTGGCATACAATGTGTTCTGTCTTTGTGGGGCTAATTCACATCACCAAGAAGTTAATTAATTTCTCCAAGGACACATAGCTAGTAAATGGTGAGTCACAATTTAAGCCTAAGTTTTCTCTTATAGCACACCAAGCAGAAAATGGGGCCTCTTGGGGGGTGAATTTAGACAGCAACCACTCTAGAGTTGATACTGAGGAGGGCTCACCATGGGCCTGCCCAGTGCTGTTCTAAACCCTTTCCAAGTATTACCTCATTTAATCCTCCAACAACCCTACAAGATAAATACAACTATTAGCCCAGAAATTCTGGAGGGGGAGACAGAGTTGCCTAAGCCCAATCAAAGAATCAGAGAGAACCAGAGGAAGGCTCTTAGTCCAGGAGTCCTCTAGTCAAATGCCAGGAAGTAACCATCATTTTATCCCTTTAGTATTAATAACAAGTTTTAGGACTGGTTTTAGAGAAAAGCAAGTTAGGTAAGATGACCAAAATGGAAACTTCTCTAGAGTTTGCCATCCTATTACACATATCATGTGTCCATATTACACACATATCCATACACACATCCACATTACACACACATACACATGCATGTGTTGGGTTGTGTCTCACATGTGCTTGGTTATAATGCTTGTGGAAGATGCCATTGTTATGCTTTTTGGTTCTTTTGAATACAGCAGCATCTTACAGGTACAACCACATCTACTGTACACTGGAGGGCAGAGTTCGGGATATTTGTCTTCTTTTTGCTTATCCATATTCTCTAGTTTTCTATAACACATATATATTGGTTACAGAGTAATAAATGAAGCAAAATTAAACAAGGATAAATATCCTCCAATTAGAGTTGGTACCCAGAGCTCTGAGGGCTCAGTCCTTCCAAAACCTTCACCTTCCTTGAGCATAGGATGGAAATGCTAAAAAAGAATCAGAGGACCTCTGGTACAATTTTCCTCTTTTGCATTCTCTGCTTTATCACTGAGCAAATGGATAGACTCAATACCTCATAAAAGCTTTCTCTGTGCATTAAAAACTTCAAGCTATAATGTTAAATAGTAACAACAATAATAATGTGTCTGAGGCTTGTACAAAATAAATAGATTGGTTGTTGAGTGACTATTCACCCAAAATAAAAGGCTTTACACAAAATGCTTCTCAGAATGTCACTCTATTTTCCATTTCTTCCATGTAATCCTAAATAAATTATACTTTAAAAATCATATTTTCACTATATACAAAAATAAATGAAAAATGGATATATAGACCTAAATATAAGACCTGAAACCATAAAACTCTTAGATGAGAACATAGGTAGAACACTCTTTGACATAAATCATAGCAATTTTTTTGTTTATATCTCCTCAGTGAAAGGAAACAAAGGTAAAAATAAACAAATGGGACTTAATTAAACCTAAAAGCTTTTGCACATCACAGAATAAAAAGACAACCTACAGAATGAGAGAAAACATTTGCAAGTGATATGACAGACAAGAGGTTGACAACCAAAATATATAAACAGCTCCTACAGCTCAATATTTTAAAAAAATTTAAAAATGGGCAGACCTGAATAGACATTTCTCCAAAGACATACAGATGGCCAACAGGCACATGAAAAGATGCTCAAGATTGCTAATTATTAGAGAAACACAAATCAAAACAAAAATAAGATATAATCTCACACCTGTGAAAATAGCTATCTAAAAAAAATTTACAAATAACAAATGTTAGACAGGATGTGGAAAAAAGGGAACCCTCCTAACATTGTGGGTGGAGATGTAAATTCGTGCAACTACTATGGAAAACAGTACAAAGGTTCCTCAAAAAAGTAAAAATAGAACTACCACATGATCCAGCAAATCCACTTCTGGGTATATATCTGGAAAAAATGAAAACTCTGCTGCTGCTGCTGTTGGAAAAAATACATGCACCCCAATATTCATAGCAGCACTATCTACAATAACCAAGACAAGGAAGCACCCCAAATGCCCCTCAACAAATGAATGGATAAAGAAGATGTGGTGTGTATGTCTGTCATAGAACATTACTCAGCCATAAAAAAGAATGAAATTCTGCCATTTGCAACAACATGGATGGACCTTAGTGAAAGGAGTGCTTAGTGAAATGAGTTAGATAAAGACAAATACTGTATAATATCATTTACATGTGAAATCTAAAAAATACTACAAATGAATGTATAATAAATGCAAAACAGAATCAGACTCACAGATATAGAAAACTAATGGTTACCACAGAGGAGAAAAGTGGGCAGGGGCAAAATAGAAGTATGGGATTAACAGATAAAAACTATACAAACTACTATGTACAAAACAGATGAGCAATAAGGATATAATATATAGCACAGAAAATTGTAGCTATTAAATTTAAATGGAGTAAAATCTGTTTTAAGACTGAATCACTATGCCATACATCTGAAACTAATATAACATTGTAAAGCAACTATACTTCAATGTTTAAAAATTTTATTCTTACACACAAAAGCTTTTAGTAAGCTTCCTTCTAAAAGCATATGGAATTGGGTTTTTTTGTTTGTTTGTTTCTTGACTCAACCCATATACAAACAATACTCTTGTGTATAATAATCTTGTGAACCAAGTAGGTATTAAAATTTTTAGGGTCTGAATTAAAATCTCTTTAGGACTTCCCTGGTGGTGCGGTGGATAAGAATCTGCCTGCCAATGCAAGGGACGCAGGTTCCATCCCTGGTCCGGGAAAATGTCACGTGCCGCGGAACAAGTAAGCCAGTGCGCAGCAATTCCTGAGCCTGTGCCCGAGGGCCGCTGAGCCATGACTGAAGCCCACCCGCCCAGGGCCCATGAGTCACGACTGTCGAGCCCGTGTGCTACAGCTGCTGAAGCCCGCGCGCCTAGAGCCTGCGCTTTAAAGCAGAGAAGCCTCCGCAGGGAGAAGCCCATGCACCACAAAGAGCAACTCCTCGCTCGCCACAACTAGAGAAAACCGCCCCCAAAAGCAACAAAGACCAGAAGCAGCCAAAAATACA